TATAACGGGCACTTGTTTAAGTAAGTATACCATCAGGAAAAAGAATATTATAGAAGCAAGTGCCCGTTCTAAGAAAGATAAGGATATCCATATCTCCAGCGTGACCTGATACATGCATGTAATTCATTAAATGCACTTTATTCAGAATGGTAAATATATCATTTCATTACAGAGTTTAACTTTAATTCATCATTAAAGAGGTAGAGGCTCCAAAGGCCAAAATCGGCCCCATCTCAGACATAAATTATATTTCAAAAGATCCTGGTGATATATTGTTTTTGTCCTGTCTGTCTGTTTGTCTGTCTGATGTCAACTTTAACCTTGCCCATAACTTTTGATTGGTTGGAGCTATGACTTTCATATTTCACATGTGTATTCCTTGTGACAAGACCTTTCTTTGGGTACCATCATATTTGACCTTGGAGTTTGACCCACTTTTGCAAAATTTTATGGGACTTTAACCTTGGCCATAACTTCTGAACAGTTCGTGCTTGGGGTTTCAAACTTCAAATTTTTTAATAATGAACATTTCAAAGAAATTTTATTTTGGCACATGCATGTGGAGGTATTTTATTTGATTAATTCATGGCAAAAATTATGAGGTTTTGATGATTTTTGCCAAATTACATCAAATTTATGTCACAAATATGACATCATTAGTACTCCATTTCAGGAAGTTTGTCTATTTATGGAGTACAATAATTGTAAATAGTGAAAAATAAGTTGAGTCAATTTCTTGTGCTAACTTTAAAAATTCTGTAGTTTTTGGGCCGATTTTGGCTCATGGAGCCCCTACTTCTGTTATATGGTAGAGAAGTCAGGGGGATAGGTATTGTAATTCTTTAGTTCTCTTTTGAGGCATTGTGTTAATCAAATAAAAACAATATATATACAGCCTACTCCAGATATATTGAAATTTAGGGGGCCATATATCCGTAATTCAATACAAGTGAAATTGACTGACGTGAAGCTGCCATTATTAAAAGTTCAATCCCGATCTAAAATAAAAAAGAAAGACCTGAACAAATTAATTTGGTCATCGTTTATCTATTACAGTCTATTCAAATTTCTCAGCAAGAATTTCACGGTAAATGGCTATGTTTTAGGATCTTGCATTTGTGAACCATTGGAAAAGAAGTCTTCAACCTCATTATAATTCCCTGATCGCATTCTTTTATGTTTTTGGAGAAAATCACCGAACTCAACTGCTTCAATTACTTGCTGAATGCTGCTCGTATATCATTGTAAGTGTACACAGGTTAATTCCCAAATCCTTAGTTTTTTTTGGATTTAGGCTTTGTCTTCTTAACAATATAGCCATAACTAGTTCGTATTTATTTTCCATAGATAACGTTTGGGGTTCCCATATTACGTCTAGACTCAATACATCAGTGTATGTTAAAACAAAGAATTCAACAGTGAATTAATTTATTATTTTGTAAAAGCAGTATAAAAACACATATGGTGAGAAATTATTAATTCACACTTTTGTGTGTTAACCAGTCAGTCTGGCATAATTTCTGTCACCAACCGTAACGACATATACCCCCCACCCCCCGAAACATTTAACCCTGTTTCTGTAAGATAAGTCAATAGACACATGCCAATGCATGTGAGTTACAATTCATTTATATGACTATTATTAATCAACCAATTTTATACTTAAAAGACTATAAACGACTCATCGTTTCAAAATTATTTGTATCACAATCTTGTAATATAAGAAAATTATGTTCGTTTATAAAGAAAATCAATTCACTGTGCTCCAGGGTCTAGAATTCCTGACCAATACTTCACATTTATAGCAACGCACTAAATTTTGCATTTATTTTTTACGCCTCTCATATCTATCTATTATTTTGTTTTTATCATTATGTCCCATAATTGTAAAATGGTGAAGAGATTCAAATAAATGAATGAAAAGGACAAGACCGGATTCCTAATGAATTTTGTTTTAAAAATGTTCAGTATTGCTCCCTTTAAAAAGTGTATTGAATGAAATACCTTAAAATTTATGTGCATTAAATAATTACTTTTAACTCATTTTCTGTTCATCTTTATTGAAATAAAAAGAAAGAAAATCAAACAAATATGTAATACATTACCGAGAAATTTTATTTTGTTGTTTCCGTATTTTTTTCACTCTTAAAATACCACCGTTATGATATATCTGAACAATATTAGTTACAAACAACACAGAATGATATGTTAATCCATCAATAGCCATATTTAAAACAAAGGGACTTCTGAATGAATCCTATGTGCATGAAAATCACAAGTTTCTCATAAAATTCTTGCAAGGAAGTTGCATGTTTCTAGCATGAATTCTATACAGTTTGCACAAAATGCTTTGGAGCTTACACGAAACACTACACGGTTTGCATGAAACGAAAAGCACACGAAAGTCACACACTTTTTAGCTCACCTGAGCCGAAGGCTCAAGTGAGCTTTTCTGATCACATTTTGTCTGTAGTCCGTCTGTCCGTCTGTCCGTCTGTCTGTCCGTCTGTCCGTCTGTAAACTTTTCACATTTTCGACTTCTTCTCAAGAACCACTGGGCCAATTTCAACCAAACTTGCCACAAAGTATCCTTGGGTAAAGAGGATTCAAGTTTGTTCAAATGAAGGGCCACGCCTTCTTCCAAGGGGAGATAATTAAGAATTTGTGAAAAATTAATGGCATCATTAAAAAATCTTCTTCTCAAGAACCACTGTGCTTGAAAACATGAAACTTATGTAGAAGCATCCTCAGGTAGTGTAGATTCAAGTTTCTTCAAATCATGACCCCCGGGGGTAGGGTGGGGCCACAATGGGCGATCAAAGTTTTACATAGGAAATATACAGGAAAAATCTTTAAAAATCTTCTTCTCAAGAACAGCAAAGCCATAATTGGTCATATTTATATGGTAGCATCCTCAGGTAGTGTAGATTCAAGTTTGTTCAAATCATGACCCCCGGGGGTCGGGTGGGGCCACAATGGGCGATCAAAGTTTTACATAGGAATATATAGGAAAAATCTTTAAAAATCTTCTTCTCAAGAACAGCAAAGCCATAATTGGTCATATTTATATGGTAGCATCCTCAGGTAGTGTAGATTCAAGTTTGTTCAAATCATGACCCCCGGGGGTCGGGTGGGGCCACAATGGGCGATCAAAGTTTTACATAGGAATATATAGGAAAAATCTTTAAAAATCTTCTTGTCAAGAACAACAAAGCCATGATTGGTCATATTTATATGGTAGCATCCTCAGGTAGTGTAGATTCAAGTTTCTTCAACTCATGACCCCCGGGGGTCGGGTGGGGCCACAATGGGCGATCAAATTTTTACATAGGAATATATGGGAAAATCTTCAAAAATCTTCTTCTCAAGAACAGCAAAGCCATGATTGGTCAGATTTACATGGAAGCATCCTCAGATAGTGTACATTCAAATTTGTTCAAATCATGACCCCTGGGGGTCGGGTGGGTCCACAATGGGCGATCAAAGTTTTACATGGGAATATATGGGAAAATCTTCTTCTCAAGAACAGCAAAGCCATGATTGGTCACATTTACATGGAAGCATCCTCAGATAGTGTACATTCAAATTTGTTCAAATCATGACCTCCGGGGGTCGGGTGGGTCCACAATGGGCGATCAAAGTTTTACATAGGAATATATGGGAAAATCTTCAAAAATCTTCTTGTCAAGAACAGCAAAGCCATGATTGGTCAGATTTACATGGAAGCATCCTCAGATAGTGTACATTCAAATTTGTTCAAATCATGACCCCCGGGGGTCGGGTGGGTCCACAATGGGCGATCAAATTTTACATAGGAACACATAGTAAAAATCTTTAAAAAAAACTATTTGTTAAGAATAGCAGAGCCATGATTGGTCATATTTATATGGTAGCATCCTCAGATAGTGTACATACAAATTTGTTCGAATCATGACCCCCGGGGGTCGGGTGGGGCCACAATGGGCGATCAAAGTTTTACATAGGAACACATAGTAAAAATCTTTAAAAAAAACTATTTGTTAAGAATAGCAAAGCCATGATTGGTCATATTTATATGGAAGCATTCTTAGATAGTGTACATTCAAGTTTGTTCAAACATGACCCCTGGGGGTCGGGTGGGGCCACAATGGGTGATCAAAGTTTTACATAGGAATACATAGGTTAAATCTTTAAAAATCTTCTACTCAAGAACAGCAAAGCCATGATTGGTCATATTTAAATGGAAGCATCCTCAGATAATGTAGATTCAAATTTGTTCAATTCATGACCCCCCCCCCCCCCCAACCACTTTTATATTTAAACTTTTTAACCTTTCAAGATTGAAGTGATTTCTGCTTTTTCCTAGCCATAGTGCTCAGGTGAGCGATGTGGCCCCTGGGCCTCTTGTTTTGGGGTAGTAGCACGTTTCAGGATCTGTATATAGGGAAAAAAAAATTTAAATCTTCTTCTCAAGAACAGCAAAGACATGTTTTGTCATATTGATATGGAAGCATCTTCAGGTAGTGTATATTCAAGTTTGTTCAAATCATAACCCCCAGAGGTAGGGTAGGGCCACAATGGGTGATCAAAGTTTTACATAGGAATAAATAGGAGAAAATCTTTTCAAGAACAGAAAAGCCATGTTTAGTCATATTGATATTGAAGCATCCTCAGGAAGTGTAGATTCAAGTTTTTTTCAAATAATGAATAGGAAGGGTGGTAGGGAGGGGCCACAATGGCAGATCAAATTTTTAACAAGGGAAAATATAAGAAAAAAGCTTTTGCTCAAGTACAGCAAAGCCATTTGTATATGCTACAATGTTATAATATGGAAGCATTCTCAGATATTTAAAAGTTCAAGTCCTCCCCCCCCCCCCCCCATTTAAACTTCAATACTGAGCTGATTTGTGCTTTTTCTTAGCCAATGTGCTCAGGTGAGCAATGTGGCCCATGGGCCTCTTGTATTAAAGTTTTATTTTTATTCTTCGGAATAGATGAAAATGCAAAAATTTTGTTCACAGCTGTAGCCAGTGTGTTGGAGGTTTAACATCATGTTTTTGGTGTACAGAGGAAGCTCAGTGCAGAAGAGGTAGAGGAGACTGTAAAAACGGAGTAAGTTTATAATTAAGAGCAATTTTCAATCACGACATATCACAGTCATGTTAATTATGAACAATATATCACATTCCGGGAATTTATTTTAGCATGCAGAGGTGTATTGTGAAAATTCATACATTCATTTGATATATGATACAGTGAAATGCAAATATTGATCATTAATTAACACATATTTACATTTAGAATGATTAAAGTGACATCCCTTCAACACTTGATACATTCATTTGATATATGATACAGTGAAATGCAAATACTGATCATTAATTAACTCATATTTACATTTAAAATGATTATAGTGACATCCCTTCAGCACTTGATACAGTGTTTTTTCTCAGTTTTTAAATTCTGTTTTTACTAGTTGATCATTGTTTATATGTGACATTGTTTTATACTGACTTGAGTTCATATTTTTCTTTGAAATTGACCCATAATGCAATTTTTAAATTTTTTTATTATGCCCCCCTTCGAAGAAGGGAGGGCATATTGCTTTGCTGCTGTCTGTCGGTCTTTTGGTCCACCAACAGTTTCCGTTCATTTTCTTCACAGAGGTTGCACATACTGAAATGAAATTTGGTATACAGATTGATCATAAGAATATCTAGGTCAAGTTCTGTATTAGGTACAATCGAACAATTTTTGACAGAGTTATGCCCCTTGGACTTAGAAATATTCCAATTATTTGCAATTTCCGTTCATTATCTTTGCAGAGGTTGCACATACTGAAATGAAATTTGGTGTACAGATTTATCATAAAAATATCTAGGTCAAGTTCTGTTTTGGGTACAATCGAGCAGTATTTGACAGAGTTATGCCCCTTGGACTTAGAAAAATTCCAATTATTTGCAGTCTTCGTTCATTTTCTTAGCAGAGGTTGCACATACTGAAATGAAATTTGGTATACGGATTTATCATAAAAATGTCTAGGTCAAGATATGTTTTGGGTACGATTGAGCAATTTTTGACTGAGTTATGCCCTTTGGACTTAGAAAAATTCCTATTATTTATTCCAAATATTTGAAGATAGTACTCTCTCCTTAGCTGTTCTTAAAGCTGAACACAACTCGTAAATAGCCACATCAGGGCTCGACATTAACTTTTTTCCCTACTTGTCCATTCGGACAAGTGACCAAGACATTTACTTATCTGAACTTCAACTTCACTTGTCCGAAAGAATTTCAATAAAGATCTAATACTGTCAACTTGAAAACTAAATTGAATTCCATTACATGTGCTTGATTGATTCATGATGTTATTGATAAATACAACCAACACATAACACAAAATTTTATCTAGACTTTCTGTCCTAACAACAACATAAATGGGACTGTCAACATCAAACAGAATCCAAACTTCATAAATTCCATGCCTTTGCAGTAGTATGCAATTAGTAAACTTCGATCCCGATCAAGTGTGAACTCAACTACATAGCGATCCATATCGGAATCTAAGTTTGGTATTAGGAACATACTACTTCCGTCTTTGAACTTCAGTACCGTTAACGTTCGACAGTCATTCTTTTTATTATTTTGAGACTTCTTTACATTTAAATGCACTTGTCCAATCGGACAAGCACCCAGCAATATTCACTTGTTCGTAATTTTTTTTTCACTGGTACCGGACAAGCGGACAAACGTTAATGTCGAGCCCTGCACATGCCATATTACTTTTCCTATCTCAAATATCAGCACATGGTATATATACCCTTCACATTCATTACACCTGCTTGCACACCTGAAATACATAGCTGGCATCTAGTATTCCCTATGTTTTCTTAGTGTTTACATTTTTAGCTCACCTTGACGAAGTTGAGATGAGCTATTGGTATACTACAGTTGGGGTCTGGGTTAAAGTTTTATGGGCAAGTCCATTCCAAAGTAACTATGTAACCCCTACAGTACCAACCATAGCCAACCTGACACCCAAGCAGTCCCAGATAGCAGACCCGGGGACTGCTCTGGGACTGCTCTCTCAAAAAGTGGGACTGCTGTGGGACCGCTTTGGGACTGCTCTAGATAGCAAATAGCAGTCCCAGCAGTCCCGAGGACTGCTTTCTGGGACTGCTTTGTTCACTCATGCATGAAAATGGTATTGAGAAACGAAATAGCCACACCCCTTGTGTATTCCAAACTTGCAGGTTCCCTATTGTAGTTTTGTTTACTTTCAGCAGAGAGGTTGTTAAAATTAAAAAAAAAGATAACAGGGATTTCTCATAAAGTTTTAATTAGTAGGGATAGTTACTGAAGAAAAATGGTATATTTTTGCAGATGTGTAAACATGTAAAAGGTCTTTAGGAGCCGTTACCATTGGGGTCTATAATTAATCAGAAAAATTAAATTTGTTATGGATGTGAAAAAAGAAAATGGAAGTTAGGAAATGATCTTTTTCCCTGTGAATTTAATGTTAATACAGGTTTTTGAAGCAAAATAATTTAATTAATTAATTATTGCTGTTAGATTATGTATTCAAAGTTTGCATCATTTAAAAAAAAAAACACGAACATGTCATCATAGTTAGATATTCATAGTGATGTGCTGTACTGGGATATTTTTTAATTGAAAAAGCTAATATCATGCTAAAATAAGAACATTCAATGCTATGTTTTTACCACCTTTAAAATAAAACGTAATTATTAATTAAATGTCCATGAAATAAGATTATTCTACCATTCTTCTGTCACTTAAACAATATAAACAATTATTCATGGATTTATTTATGAATTACTTTTTAACTTATAAAGAAGTTACTGTAAAAATATTACATTTAGCTGTGTATTCATTTTAGCGCCTTTCGTGGAAGGCAACTTCCGCTAATTCAAGTACAATGCTTAATGTCTTGCACATGTAGATTTAAATAAGAACATAAGGAAATGCCCTAAATCAAATCTTTGCTAACTTGTTTAAAAATCAATTTCCGCCAAATATCGTACATGCTGAATATAATACATTTACTATATAATAAAATTATTTAAAAAATAAACGTTTGAAAATATCGGGAATTGCTCTGCCCCTTAAATTAATTAACCCCACCCACTGGGATTGCTCTCTGGGACCGCTGTGGGACTGCTCTGGGACTACTGTTTGATGCTGTGGGACTGCTCTGGGTCTGCAACTGCTAAGCAGTCCCAGAAGTCAGTCCCTGGGACTGCTCTGGGTCTGCTTTCTGTCAGGTTGGGTCTGATTGGTACTGTATCTGGACCAAACTTGCATGGATGATGCATCTAGGGATGCACACAAGTACCAGACTGCTTTAAATGCTGGATTTGACCTATATTTTCCAGGTGAGTAACCAGGTTAAAGTTTTTGAGGCCTTTAGTGACCAAACTTGCATTGATGATGCATCTGGGGATGTATAGTATTAGACATGCTTCAGATACTGGATCTGACCTACATTTTCCAGATGAATGACCAGGTTAAAGTTTTTGGGGCAACTCCATCCCAAGTAATTATAAGCCCTACCTGGATGCACTTTACCAGACTTGCCCTTTACCAGACTTGGATGCTGGATCTTAATTACATTTTCTGAATGACTGAATAGGTTTAACATTTTTTTTAAGCAGGTCCATTCCCAAGTAAATATTAGCCCTGCCTGGACCATACTTGCATAGATGATGCATCTAGGAATTCACATTACCATAGATGCTTCAGATCCTGGATATGACCTTTATTTTCCAGTTGAGTGACCAGGTTCAAGTTTTGGAGCAGATTCCTTCCCTAATAACTTAAAACCCCTTTGGTGACCAGAATTGCATGGATGATGCATGTAGGGAATGCACACTAACAGACTTGCTTTAGATGCTGGATCTGACCTACATTTTGGATCAGGTCCATTCCCAAGTAGCTATAAGCCCTACTTGAACCTATGTTGCATGGAAAATGCATTTAGGGATGCAGACTACCAGACTTGCTTCAGATGCTCAATCTGACCTACTTTTCGTAGTAAGTCCATTCCCAAGTAATTATAAACCCTACCTGGACCAAGGTTGCTTGGATGATGCAACTAGGGATGCACACTTTCAGTCTTGCTTTGGATGCTAGATCTGACTTATCTGGATGACTTGACCTATATTTTCAAGATAATTGAAACAATTTTAAGATTTTAGAACATTCCTAAGAAACTATAAATCCTCTCCAAACCAAATTGCATGCTTGTTACATCTAGATATGTCCACTACCATGACATTCAAGACATTGCCTTCACTTATAGATAATACTTGTTGAGGAGAGTTTTGTAATCTATTTTTGTTGTGCTTGATTCAATGTTGTCATTGACCCTTGTGCAATTAATAAAATTACTTTTTCTCCTGATGTTGTATAGTTGCGAACATTTGAAAATTTTACCCAACCTAGTAGCAATGGCATTTCAAGACACATCTACACAGGTGAGATCTGTATAGCGAAATACTTCAATCAATCTATGAAGAGGTACAAGGCTTGTTAAGGGGGCTTGAACAAATCAGGCGATCGAAGTGAAATGTGGCGGACAAGGATAATTCTTTTCCTTTTACGAGTCATGTTCAGCTTCAATTTGAAAGAAAACTTAAATCTGAAAGATAAGGGCGTGGATGCTTGGATATCAATTCAGCTCTTTAGGCCACAGTAAAAAAAATTCCTTGATTCCCTTTCAAATTGTTTGAAAAATTGTGTTGGGTAGTTTTTATTATACCCCCCGCAAACGAAGTTTAGGGGGGGTATATTGGAATCAGCTTGTCCGTCTCTCTGTCCGTCTGTCCTTCTGTCTGTAGACGAGATGTTGTCCGGACCATTTCTTGGAAACGGTTGCAAGGATTTGTCTGAAAATTTGTACACTTATTCTTTGCCATATGAAGGTGTGCACCTGGTATTTTCATCATGATTGGATAATTTTTTTGCATTTTACAGGTGTTTTTTTCATTTTTATTATGTGGTTTTGTCCAGATCTGTTCCCAGAGACTATTGCATAGATTTGTATGAAAATTTGTACACTTCTTATTTACCATATGAAGATGTGCACCTGGT